AATTCAGTTATAAGTGGAATGAATGTCTAATACTCTATGAATGAAAGTAAAAGTTGTCTAAAGTTTTTAGTAATGAATTCGTGGAAAAATAGCTAAATATGAGTGAAAAACACTATTGTCTTTAGACTCCTTCGAGGCACAGCTAAAAGTGAAAGTAATTCCGAAAACTTTTGGGAAAGTATTATAGAATGCAGTCAATACTTGAACACTATTTTTATTTATGTTTTTATTTATTGTTTCTTTTGAATAATATAATAATTCCGAAGCTGTTCCACAACAGGACTGCCCTTTAATTATCATTTTGTTTAACTTTTCTTTTCACCGATTTTCTTAGTATTTGAGAAGTGATGGCTTTTAGTGGTTGAGAGTCTATCGTCAGACTTTCAAACTCTATTATTTACAACCCATAAGTAGTGTATTATATAATACGTGTTGAGTATTGGCCGGAATATTGAGGAGAGAGAGAGAGAGAGAGAGAGAGAGAGAGAGAGAGAGAGTAGTTGAGAGTGAAGAGTGATGTGCAATGATATGTAGATGTGATGGTTTGGTACGGAGTGGTATGGTTTGGTATGATATGGTAAGCAATGGTTAGGAATGGTATGGAATGAGTGTTGGAGTGTGAGTTGGAGTGCACCTGTTCAAGGTTGTGAAGGTTGTGCTCGTCAACAAACTTCAACTCTCTTCTCTCTCTCTCTCTCTCTCTCCTCTCTCTCTCTCCCTCTCCCTCTCTCTCCCTCTCTCTCCTCACCACAACTCCACTCCAATTCACTGCAATTGGTGTACAATTCACTCGACTTTCGTCTATCGTATGCCAGACGAGAAGCTTTTGGGAGACCTTACGTGCACTCACTCTCTGCTGACTAACTCTCGCCGCTATTCCATAGAAAATATATATAAAACTTTTTGTGCGTAAAGTCTGCCAGAATTGCCAGAATATCGCGAGGATTCATAAGCATTACTGTATAGCAGAGCACAAGTTGTCTACAATGGGTCTGAATGTTGGAGTCATTACTTTCCACTGTATTGGCGACACTCCGACTCGAATTCAGTGGAGGAATTCCTTCTGTATATTGTTTTTAATGCTATTTCTTAATAACTATTTTTATTCCGTCGAAGGTATGTATCGTTTCATTGCTTTTTAACATATATTTTCAATAAATTATTATTGCGTTTGTCTATCAATAGTTTATTCACTTTCAAAAACTTTTATTTTATCACTAATTGCGAGACACTTGGACTCTTTAATTGAGTCATTCAATACAATACAAAAAAGTTTATATCTATATTGCTATTCATATAATAGTTGATGATTACTATGATGCTATATAAACATAACTATAAATCTTTATATCAAGTTTGACGTCACTTTATCGACAAATACTTTGAATTCTTAAGATAAATGGTTTACTTATTTGTTTGCTTACACTTACACTTATACTTTTTAAAGCCTTTATTTGTCTCAACACTTTTCAGACAATAGTGTTCATCCGTTAAAGAGTTTGTTTTAGTTATTTTAAGGAGTTTTCATAAATAAAGGATCAGACAGTGATTATCGAGTTATGCAAACAATCTCTGTATCCAAACACATCTTCCCTCATATGTGACCCAAATATAAGACAATTGAATTGAAAAACTTTTTTTTTCTAATCCTTCCGCAGACAGTATAAGTCTAAAATAAATGCATTTCTATTAATGTTATGACACAATGACTTTGCCTTACATCACACATCCCAGCAAATCCTTAGTCTGTTCTAAATCTATACTATACTATAAATCCCACGTATTTTAGTCTTGTTTTTATAAATCCACGTCAATTGAGCGCACATTTCATGAGTGAAAACAACTTTCAAAATACAAACACTCTATTTATGGCAGTTTTCAATTCAATTCAATCCCATGATTACTCTAAAACTAATAAACATGTTCTCCAATACTGTACACAACATACTCTCGTTGAATGATCAGAAAAATCATTGAAAAAAGTTTACTTCAAGTTTGTATTATTTAAAAATGCCACAAATTAGGAGTATTTCATGTTTAGTTTTCCTCTGACTATCAATTTTCCTGTTTTTCATTAAATATTATGAACAAATATTTAACACTAAACAAAAAATTTAACAATTTATGGATTTAAGCCATATTTTGATATGTTTTTAAAATTGATAAACTCTCTCTTTCTCTCTCTCTCTCTCTCTCTCTCTCACTCACTCACTCTCTCCTATATAAGTATAAATATGATGACTGATGTAGTACTGTATAATCACAATTTTATTGAGTTTAAATTTTAAATTCAAATATCTTACAGAAATAATTTAGATTTTAAGAAATAGATTGAATTGATTTGTCGTATAATTATAGTAATGATACTCATAATAAATAAATGGAATTGTTTTGATATATAATATAAAAGTATATTTCTAAGAATTAATGATTAGATTGAGACTATTTTGATTAGAGTTACGCAAAGAGGGAATGTATGTGTTTTTGGTGCTAACGATGCCCTTGTCTGATGTCTTGTGTCAACTCAAGGACTGCACTCTCTCTTTCATAATCTGTTACTTTATTTACTAAAATTAGAACTAATTTCCGAAATCTAGCATTAATTAAGTCTATAGTGGTATCAAATATATGAAAAGTGAAGTAATCTTTCTATTTTTAACAAATATGTTACAAAACTTTTCCTACAATTCTTGGTAATTTTAACGCTGAATACTTTCTAACGCTGAAAGTTATTTTGTGTTAAACACCGTTACACTGATTTTGGTTTACAAAAGCCATACACAATTGTATAAGAATTTGGCAAAAGTTTTCAATGCATTCATTATTCAATATTAAAAGCTCAGCATAAAGTATTATAACAGTATTGAGACATTCCTTTGATAAGCCATTCATTGAGTAATTGAATGCCAGTGCCGGACCAGTTGTGGTGACCATGAGTTGAGACAAATGTGGCGAACAATGATCTCACGGTCAGGGACACAGAGGACACAAGAGGGCCATTGAGACCACTGTGTCGGCCAGACATGCCGTTTGGCGATTCATTGCTATGGAGTTTATGGCACAATAAACTCAGTTAACCCTGTCTTGAGCGGCACAGCAGACGGACTCCGGATGTCTGTCTCAACCGCTGAACCTTTTGCTCAAACATTAACTCCTATTATATAATGCGTACACAAAAAAGTGTCAAAATTTTAAATCAGGCAAAGCTTAGGTAGTGTTTGGCTCATGTAGTGTCTGAACCATGAGTTTGTGGCGAATTAGGCATAAATGAAACCAAGAATTTGGACACAAAATGAGAGTCAAAACATAAATCTTGGGCTCAAAAAGTAGTTTTAAAGGTGTGAGGGCTTGGTTTGTCGGGTATGCAAAGTGTGAACGATCGGTGTGACTGACAGTGACATATGACATATGCCTGCTATCAAAAGGAGACCATCTCCGCCCACTCCCCTCCTGTCAATCTATACCTCTTTCCTATTTATTATGTTTTCCTAATTTTCTTAACCGTCAAAACAATAATTTTTATTTCATTTCAATTTTGAAGCCAATAAATATAATTAACATTCAATTTGTAAATTGATTTATTTGTCTTTATTAAAGAATATTACACATTTAATTACTTTAACTATTCAAATGAATATACAAATCGCAATTACAAACATTAAAAGTATTTATTAGGTTGTAAAACTATTGACTGAAAGAATTATATATTTTTATTAATTATAAATCAAAGTTTACACAATATTTAAAAATAAACTTAATTAAATGATATGTACTAGTAAAAATACACAATTTAATGATCTGATTGGCTGTATAGCTGGGATGTGCTGGAGTGGACCCAATCGCGAGGGCCGATGCAATGATTTGCTTAAATCGGGAGTCACTGAAGATGAGTGCTGTAGTGGTGTCGACAGCACTAACTCTGGCATCACATCCACTGCTTATACCGAAGACCTCGAGGCGGGGAAACTGTTTTATTTCCGCGCTCTGAGAGGTGGTGTCCCGTGTAGTCGATGTAAATGTAAGTGAAATATGTTTTACATTTATTTATTATACTGTATGTTCATTTTTAAACTAGTTTATAGCAAGATTTGACTAAATCGTTTATTTTACTTAAATAATAACTCTCAAGTTCTAATAAGTAGACTATTACTAATAGTGTTTTTATTCACAAAAAATAAGATATTAATCACAAAAGTTATTTATTCAACAATTTCTGAATTGAATTTCAATTAGAAGTTTTAAATTTTTTATTTGAATCAAATCCACGTGATTTTTAGTAAGTTTTATGACTTTTATCGGGAATGAACATCAGAAATTGTAAAACTTTTCTAGTTGTATGAAATTCATTGAGAAAACTCGAATCGAGGCCTCAAACTTTCCTTCAATGTGTAAATATAAGAGATATTTGGTTGCGATACGAAAATCGGCGGTCATTTTAGTTTCCATTAAACTTTTTATGAATTGATAACAGAGTTTAAGTGAATTTACGTCCGATTAGTTTAATTTATGCGTTTGTAATGCATTGATAGCCACCTGTGAAGGCGTTAAGTGCGAGACTGGAAAGAAGTGTGCGCTTAAGAGTGAGGCACCGGTATGCATATGTGCGCCCAAATGTTCCCGGAGAAAAAGAAAACTCGGACCCGTTTGTGGTCAGTATCCTATTGTCTACATCTTTAATCAAAATTTCATATTAAATGTTTAAGTTTATTCATATCTTGCATACAATTAAGGAACCGATGGACAAACCTATCGACACGTTTGTAGACTTTTAAAACGCAAGTGTCGTAAGGATCCGACCCTAACAGTCGATTACTATGGCAGTTGTAAAGGTATGTTGTATTATATAATGGATTATAAATTATGCTTAAACGCTTTATACGGCACTAACAGATATTTGGGGGCATTCTACTGTAGTTGGCCTATGTTGTAGTTCGCTATATGTATAGCTAAATCCCACTAATTTCTATGACTTAGAAAATATAAATGTTTACACGTAATGCCATGAATAAAATACCTGTTGCTAACTCATACAGAAAAGTATAATAAATTACATAAAAATTTACATAAAAATTTAGTTCAAATTTTATACATAAGTTACTTTTCCTAATTCTACATTATACAAATCAAAATCTCTACAATTTTTACAATATTAAAAGTTTTCAACTAAGTTAAAGTATACATATGAACACACATTCCTTTCATAATACGATAAAAAATAATTATACAAATACTTACGCATCATTTAATTACAGGTTTAATAAATGACTGATTGAAGCAATTTATACTTTGCTATAATTTAAGTTTTTAAGTTTAACTAAAAGTTTTTATTTGTTAATTTAGCATAACTGAATACATAATAATTTAATGAAATGGAGAACGTGTTTGCATTGAATTATGGATTTATTGATATTTTCTTATCTTTCACTTAAGACACATGCGATAGTGTTCGCTGTGTTGAGAGCAAGACATGTATTTTAGATCATAATGTTGGGCCCCATTGTGTGCGATGCAAACAGTACTGCCCACCTGTCACTCCCAATAGTCGTCCAGTTTGTGGTGTGAATAACGTAACCTATTCTAGTTATTGCCATTTGCAAAGGGCTGCCTGTCTGTCAGGCACTGCCATTCAACAAGCTTATAGAGGACAGTGTAAACGTATGTATCAATTGTATTCATGTTATCTAATTGAATGAATCCCTTAATACACGATAAAACATATCGATAAACATTTCTAGTATTTCAAGTTTTCATTGCCTGTACTCTATAAGTCTTATAAACTTTTGGTCTTAATTGTAGTGCAATCGAGAATATAGTGAGAGATTGTTTGAACCCCTGAAAGAACACTTCATTGCATTTAAATGAATACCAGTTTTGTCTGATTTAAAACTTTTTTATTTATTGTTTGTTTTATTAATTTTTAAAGCATCACATGATCATTTCCATATCATTCAAATATAGACACATATTTTTAGATTAGATCTAGCTAATATTGTAATGAGACTGTCGAGTAATTAAAAGCAAATAAAGTGTTGGATTAGTGACAACATTACAGTTGCATATAAGGAGTGTGCGAACAGGCAATAGCACCGGTGTGTGTGTGTGTGTGTGTGTGAGAGAGAGAAAT